CTCACATCCAGAGGGTGACACCATCCCTGGCAGGTCACCTTGGCCACTAACCCGTGTGTTATCGGCTCTCCCCTACTCCCCCTGCCCCTCCCCCACCCACAGAGGGAAAGGTGGTCGTGGCGTGTAGGGCTGGCAAAATCATCATAATGAGAAATACACACAACGTACCCTTTACTCTCACCGAGATCGTGTGCCGGATGCTGCCCATCTTGTTGGAGGCCAGGCAGAAGTACTCCCCAGAATCTTCCTCGGAGACGTTGGTGATACGGAGAGCCTTGTTAAAGTTCTCAAACTTGGCCTTGTCAGATGGGAGGTCCCCACCCTTCTTGTACCATGCGATGTCTGGTGTTGGGCTGGGACAGAGACCGAGCAGGAAACAGGGATTAGCACCAACTGCGGCCCTGCTCTTCTTCTACAGAGCCCTGGACACCCGGGCGTCCTTGAAGTGTAGGTGCAACCAGAAGGACCCACGTCCTCTGAGAGAGGCCCTCTCCTGTACACAGGGGATGCTTGGCCATAGAGCCCCGAGGGGCTGTTGTAAAGTCACACGGGGTGTGAACACACGTGCGGGATGCCTACCTGTCTCCCTTCCTGGTCTGTTACCCATAAAAGAGACAGCCAGAGTGGGATGGGAACGATGATGCTTTGCAAAGGCCTTGCTAGGGGCTGTCTGTGTCTCTTTTTGCCTCCCCACACTGTGGCAAGAAGAGAGCCTGCGCAAATTCCCAGCCCCATCCTCCCGGGGAGGGACCAGAGTGGGGGTGCAAGCTGTACATACACCCCGGAGGCGATGCACTCCAGCAAGAGATCCATGCCACGCAGCACCATCTGACTGCTCGCCGTGCCCTGGGGATACATGAAGCTGGGTGTTCTTTCTGCAACTCCTCGCGCTGAAATAGGATAGAAGACGTTCTCATGAGTCTCCTGCCCAGAGCTGACCCAGCTAGGCCCAAGCAGTCAGGCCAGGAAGAAGTGTCATCACGCCCCCTACTTACCCCCTTACCCTCAGAGGCACCAAGTCCCAGACCCTCCCAGCTGAAACCACCCCCCCCACCAGGGCCAGGGCATCATTAAGAGAGGTGTGTTAGGAAGCGCGGGGCTCCCCGGCCCCATTGGCACATGTGTGTGAGCAGCTCTAAGATCTGAAAGGATCTGCCAAGAGGAGCCCAGCTTCCTCCCCCGTTCAGTAAACCCCACCTTCCTGGGAAAGGCGGAGGGGGTTGTCTGAGCAGTGAGCGGTTTACTCCCTGAGCATCTTGTGTTGGGACCCCAGAGACCAATGTGGTGGCCCCCCGGGAGGCCGTCTCAGCAGCAGTGGATGAATGAGAAGGCACGTACTGGGGCCACAGGACAGACAACCTGCTCTTTGGGACCCTGGAGACAAGGAGCTGGGATGAAGCCACAGAGACCCAGATGAACAGTCAGAAATGCAGGCAACATTATTAATGGTTTAGCAAAGACATGGAGAGAATGAATGAGCAGAAATGACAGGAAATCACTCTGGGGCCAAGAGCATTCTGCTTCTTCACTAATGACTCGGGAAGGGGGCTGGGAGGAGGGTGTTAATTGGATGTGAGAGACTGGGGGAGGGGGAGTGGAAAGTGGCAGCCGAGATGGGGGAGGTGATCTACAATTCAACTAGGCTGGAGCAGCCACGTCCACAAACAGTGCCATGCACGCAGGGTTTGAAGGCCAGGTGGCTCACAGAGGTCGACACGGCCAGGGTGGCTGTTTGGCTGTGGACGGGGTCATGCAAGTCTGGGCACACCCCCAGCACGGCGGACCCCACCTTACCTGCGCCTCACCTCTCCTGGGGAGCTCTTTGCACAGTTCTATGGACATGGGTAAGACGGAAGGGAGAAGAGCAGGGGTTTTCCAACCAGGAACCCCAAAGCAAAGGGAAGCTGGAGGAGACACCCCTGCCCAAAGGTGTAGAGTTATAAACAAGAAGAGTGAAAGCTAGAAGCTGAGTCTACCCAGGGGTGCAGTGGGTCTTAGGCTCAGTTGGAGAAGCGAGAGGAGGAAGGCAGGCAGAGCTGCCAGGAGCTGGGAGCCGTCAGATGCCTGGAGTGGGGCAAAGGCATCTTCCTGGCTGGGGGCCATTAACGGGTCCTGGCAGTGAGGACAGGGTGGCAGGGGAACTCTTGTCTCTGTGACACTGGTGTCTCCTAAAAGAGCTTGTTGGACAGGCTGGTGCCTGGCTGGATCAGCAGGGCTCCTGTCTCAGAGGCGCTCATCTTCTCTCCATTAGCCATCGGGGAGTGCGTTTCATAGAGCTGGGGTCTATTTTATGCTTTTGTCAGGGGAAGAAATGATGAGACGTACGCGGAGTTAGTGAGGCGGCCACACACCGCGTGGCACATACAGCAAGCGTTCCGTAAGTGTTGCGGGACGAATGAATTCAAGGGGAGAAGGGAACAGAAAAGAAGGCGACAGTGTACCCCATGTGTTATTTCTCTTTCTGTAGATGTCCTCATGTGTCCCACCAGCACACACATATACAACAGTGGCTACTGACCGGGTTAATCCATTATGTGGTTAATCGGTTACCGTCTATGACCCTTGTAGCAGCCAGCTCTCAGTACCAAGGAAGCCTGATACCAAAGCAGCACCTTCCTCCCACCCGTTATCCTGGAATCACCAGAACAGTCCAGATAACACAAGGTCAAGGGAACTACGAGGAGAAGGATATTTCAGGGCAGGAGGCCCTGGTGTTAGGCTGGGGACTCTGAATGAGTGCTGGGAATGCTGGGACTACGGGGAAGAGGTCCCAGCTCAGTTGGCATACTCCTTCCACGAAGTGACGGAATCTGCAGAAACCAACCTGCGACCCCGTGGACATTTAATTCACACCATAGCAGGGAGCACCTCGAGCACACTTGACCAGCAAAGCACCAAGTATGGGAAGGAGGAGAAAAGAGCTGAGTCTCGCTGTGGGGGCCTTGACATGCTGTCGCTGTGACTATAAAAAGGTTACAGCAATACTTCACTTGTAGGATGTGGGCTAGCAACCATAGAGTTATCCCAAAGGAAGAGAAGCTACTGGGAAACAAGCCTAAGTTCAAAAACATAGGGAAGAACATCCTAAAAGTCAGAGGTAATAATCAGGGCCACCATTTGGTGGGCATTCAGGAGGCGCCAAGCCTCTGCTAATAGCCCTCTCTAGATATCATAGTCATGCTTAATCCTCACAACAAACCTGGGGCGTACCACCACCATTTTCAGCAGAGGGAACTGAGGCTCAAGGAAATGCATAGACTTGGCAAGGTCACAAGCCAGTTATGTTTTGGATTCTGGACCATTTGGCACCAAAGCGTGTACTCTGATAGTTATACTATCTCGCCTCTTTAAAGATGGCTACCCCATCTGTCCCTCCTTCTGACAGTCAGCTTTGGGAGCATCAAACCAAAGAAAACCCAAATCCAAGGGTAAAAGAGGTGAAGGAAAAAGACATAGTATCTTGTTGAGCTGCTCTGGTGAACCTCCTCCACTAGACTAAATCTCATCCCTCCCTGGTTTCTAAGGCCCAAGCTGGAGAGAGAAGCTGGGCTGGGAATTAAGAGGTTCCAAAGGCATTTCAACTGGATTCTTAAGGCCATGGAAAGCTTGAAGAGGAGTCAGGGTGACATGTGGTTTCATTAAGGGATGAGAAGCTGAATCCAAAGGGGAGGTTATGAAGAACTGTGGTCAGCTGCAGCAGGAGGGATTTACATGAAAACTGATGAAGAACAATCCAGCTGGTGGCTTTGGGGGCCACTGCCCCCAAGGGAAGGTGGCTAATTTCTTTCCCTGGAGTAGGAGACCCAGGAAGAATCTCCAAGACAAAGGTGATTACTCTCTAGGACTCTGCATGGTAGAGGATGACAGTCTCCTAGGGTCATACGATCTCACCCACCCTCTTAGAGATGGGGATTCAGCCTGTCCAGCCTCATGATGCTGCTCGTATTCTCCCTGATCTTCAGGGCTGGGGTTGGACCTAATATCAGATCAAACTCAGAACCCAGACACCAAAGCTCACGTCAGCGGATTCAGGAAGAGCTTCCCACGTGGGCCCCTCTGACCTCTAGCCCAAGGACTGTCTGTCCTTTCCTGCTCTCCCTGGCTCATGGGTGGGATCATGGGTTTCCAGGGGAATCTGGGCAGCAGGGAGACATCAAGATATGACACTGCCTCAGCCACCTTGGCTTTAAAGGGCCAATGAAAAAAATGTCTTAATCAACTCCTATGAGAGGAAAGGTCAAGATTGCTGAAAACCTGAGTTACTCCCCTCTGTTAAGCACTGTGGGTTAGCGGAAGAGAGTCCAATGCATCAGATGTATCTGAGAACCTTTTCCAAAAACAGCTTTTAGGGGCAGCTGGATCCCACATTTGCTGCTTTCCATTCTCAGAATTAAGAACTGGGGTTGGATCTGTGGCATCTCATTCACCTCTCTGGCTCCAGGAATGGCTGACGAAACAATCCCAGAAGATAAGAAAAACTCTCTGTCTAGTAACATTTGATACCCTCCACTGTCAGGAAATCTCTCCCGTAAGTCTAACCCCAACCCCTCATGCAATAGTTGGAGCTTTTTTCTGATCCAGGTCTCAGCAGAGCTGAGGATCTGAATAGCTTTCATTTCTCTAATCTGCCCTAAAGTCCCTCTCTCCATAGTAATTTCTTCCCACAATGGTGCTCGCTGAACCCCTTGGCTTCTCTTCAAGTTCTCTGTGTCCATCTTAACTTCAGGCAACACTAAACCATTCCCTTCAATACCAATACTGTCGTAACACATACTAATCATTGATGTGTCTGACACCATGCTAGTGACCAGGTGCACATTATCCTGGTTATTCTTCATGACAACCCTACGGGGCAGGTCATATACCCATTTTACAGATGAGGAGATTAAGGTTTTCACACACTAAATGACTTGCCCAAGGTCACTCAGAAGCCTGCATTTAATTCGAGCCTGTCCACCTCAGAGTGCCCACTCTTCTCTTCCTTGTTTCCTTGCCGGGTGAATTCTACGTGGCCAGCTACAATCTCAGACCAGCTGCCCCCTGCCACTCAGCAGGTCCGGGGACATCTGGCATAGGTTCAAAGGATACTAAACCACTGGAGAAATCACTAGAACAAAGTGTAGTTATGGGGTGGCCCTATCGCTACAAGAGACATGCCATATTTCAAAGCCAAGCAGACAGATGCACTGGGCATTTTTCACTGCCTTGTGTCTCAATGTCCAGCCCTGTACTCAGAAAGGACCTTATCTTCCTTCCTTCTCACTTTCTGTTTCTTTCTAGAAGCATTCAACCTAGCTGCCCTTTGTTCAGCATGTGTCTCACTTTGACTTTATATCCCTTCCAGCTGGCTTCATGCTTGGGTCAGCCACATTCATTCTACCCTGGATCGAGGAGAAGGGGTTCTTGTGAGTTCTTGTGAGTTCTTGCGAGCTTTGCTGGATTTTATAGCCCTGGATGGTTCTTAGAACTCCCACGCATTCACTTGTAATCACATCTACCACTGGCCACAAAGTTTAAGTGGCTGGAATCACTCAAATTTATCCCATTGAGAAAATAATTCTACATGCTTGTTCCCCTGAATGGTTTATCTAACACAAAGGAGGCGCTTGGACCAGATGGTCTCTAAGGGACCTTCTGGCTCTGATATACTCTAGCTTCAAGAATACTTCCATAATAGATTACCTGAAATCCAATTTAGAGAAAGGCACATTTCACACCAATGCTCTGGGGCTCTTGACACAATGGTGGTTGGCCCCATTATTTTGAAAACAAACAACGCCCCTGAATCCAACAAAGATCCCCTGCCTCCTTGGGCAGTACATCTCTTTGGCAGAATCTCAGTGTGGCTCTAGGGGCTTGATGCCAAGTTAGAGCCTTTGCCTCTCTCTGGGGCTCTCCATCCCTCTTCCCCTCCCCCACCCCAGACACCGATCATTGTTTATATTAGCACATCACAATGCAGACACTTCCTATCTATTGGAGGCCACAATGCTGGCCCTGGGGACCTGCAGCCTCAGCTTCCGAGGCATAACTGATGATGGGGGCCAGCTGCCTCGCCAAAGCCAGCAAATGACTGTTCCCTCTGGCTGCTCAAGGAAAACAAGACATTCTTGAGCCGTGGTGGGGGGGCAGGGACTCAGGTGTGGAAATAGCCAATTACTCTACTCATCAGCTGAGCAACCAGTTGTGCGATGAGTTAGAAATATGCCTCATGGAAACTGTTCCAAGTGTGTGGACAGCTGCGCACTGGATTTGTACACGCCACCGGAGGAGAGAAGCAGCCCAGGCAACAGAGACCAGGCATGGCCCACCTGCATTTATACTTACTTTCAAAGAGAACTCAGAGCTGGACTCTTACTCATTTTTCCCAGAGGGATTTTAAAGAGACATGGGGCTGGTGAAATGGTACCCCCAGTAACTAAGGTTAGATTACAAGGTAGGCAGGTCACATCCAGACATGTACAGGTTAACTAATTACATCACAAAGCTCTCTGCATCCTTTAAACCGCTAACAGGAACCAGACTCCCTGCTTCTTCCTCACGGTGTGGACTCCCCTCTCCTCAGATATTCTCCATCCATCCACCACAGATTCCTACGTTTCTACAGGACCCTCCAAGAAGCTCTTTTGGAGTCCTACCCTGGTCTGACCAACCTGTCCAGATTTCAGCAACTGGCGGCTTGCCTGTTCCCAGAAACCGGAGCACCACGTGAGCTACCTCAAACTCCCACACTGGCCACACCGTCCTCCCGGAGAGCAGTGTCCGGAAGGGGGCCCCTTGGCACCCTGGTCTGGCCGACTGTCAGCCCTGCCACCCAGCATGAGTTAATGAGACACGGTATCAGTCAAGTTAGGCAAACTGGGGTTAGGACAGGCAAGGTTACTCCCAAGGTTACCGCGGCGACTCACCACTATACATGTCAGGGTGGTTTCTTAAGGACGAGTCATTATAGGGGTTGTCTGCAATAAACAAAAGAGGGTGAGCAAACAGGAGGCCACGGACAGCTCATGGAGGCATAAACAGGGAGAGAACAACAGAAATGCAAAGCCGCAGAAAACAACCGGGGATTTTGCAAAGGAAAGACACAGCATATTTGGAAAGGAAATGTGCTTGGTGAAGAACAAGCAACATAAAACAGCCCAAAAAAGGGAAGAAAAGGTTAAATCCTGCAAAAGAAGGCAATAATAAAAGAAATTTCTTTTTAATGAAAGAAATTAGGCTTGACCTTTAATGGCTTGATCCTACTGTATTTCAAACAAATGAAATAAGGATTAGTGGCATCCCGTAGCCGTCTTTTGAACAACTTCCCATCAAAATCCTCAGTTCCCAGGACTCTGGATCAGGCCAGCTCCCGGGGCAGCTAAAGAGAAAGGAGTGTGAGTGAGCCCTGAGGAAAAGAGCAAAGCCCTCCCTGGGCAGAAGCTAAGGTGCAAAGGTGGGAGGTCAGTGAGAGAAGACAGTCCAAGAGATATAGTTCATCAGCTGAGAGAGAGGGACAGAGGGACCCTTGGCAAGCGCCCCCGCCCCCCCACCTGACCAGTGGGCACCACCCTGGTCTCTGAGATGTCTCTGGTGGAAAGAGCGTATAGACTAAGCTGGAGATTCCGAGCTCCTAGACTGGCTTGGGCTGAAGTCATTCCTTAAGTAGCAGACGGGTGCCTTTGGTTCCAATGTTAGGTAATTAAGACCGCTGGGCATTTAATCCTCAGTGAAAGACGTTTTGGAATAGGGCACTTAAGCCTGCCAAGGCTAGGCTTTTCATTCTTCTACCGCCATCCCCGTCCAGCTACTGGGTTCAAGTTTTGATGGTACCCACAGCGGGTGGGGGGCGGTACAGCTGACTGGAAGCCAAGCAGACAGCCTTGAGAAGCCGACCTGGTCCAAGCAAGCGCCTGCGGGAGGCGAGGTGCTATGCCAGAATATTTGCATATTTGAAGACAGATCAACTCCTGTTAAAACGGATTGCAGAGGCTGTGCGCACTCTTTGCTGGGACCCCTACTGCTTCCCAAATGTGCTTAAAGCCTGGTAGGGAGATTTGCATTATTCAGAACTATCCCTTAAGATGGGGTATGTTGTAAGACCAGAGCCTGTTTGGGAAGTCAGCTTGGGTTTGTCTGGTGCTAGGGGTGGGAACCAACCTGCAGTGGAATGGAGAGGCAGGGTGGCAGAAGGGACGAGGGGCTGAGGCCGCACTCAGGAGGGGACATCCCTCTCTGTGGGGAGGACAGGGGCACACAGCTTAAAGGGCCCTGGCTTCATGCTCCTAAGCTCCCATGCCACCAGGTGAAATAGAACTGCTCTCTTTCCAGAGAAGTGACCCAAGTTTCGAACTGATCTTACAGTTTGTGGATTCTGCAGCACATCTGAGCAATTCAGGGAGACTTTCTGACTCCTAAGAGTGCCACTTAGATAGCAGACATTAGGAGGAAGCAGGGTTAGTGCTCCATGGTCTGCCTCAGGAGAGACTCCTTCTCCCTCACCATGGTCACCAAAGGGAACTGTTCTGGCATGGGCAAAGTGGGACAGGCACATCACCTCTCTGTGAGGCTGACTCCACTGTTTGTCTTTGACTGCATCCCAAAACAAATTTTAAAAATGGTTTCAGATCGCCCAGCGTTTTGTATTAGATACCTTTCCCCCCGGCCCTTCCTTAAATGTAGGTAATGCACAATCAGCCATGATGAGATTGGTGTCTTCTCCTAAGGGGCAAACTGTGACGGAAACGCGCGGTGAGGAGAGACTTGGAAGCTGTCTCAGCTTGGCTGTTTTTCCTCCCACCCCCAGACCTCGTTCTGAAGGTACAAGAAAGAGCCTGTGTCCTCTCCAGGCAGGAAAGCAAAGAGAGCACAACTGTGCTATTTTAAGCAACTGTACCCAATTCTGGGCTGGCTCAGATGCCCAGAACTTGCTCCTGGCCAAAGTTGCCCCTGGGAGAACTCCAGGAAGCAGACAGGGCTCTGTTCCCATCACCTGGGGGGGTTCTTGGCATTTGGTGGAAAGAGTTTTCAGTGGAGTAGGGGACCCAGAAATGAAGCAGAAACAAACAGCCCTTACCTCCTCTGGTAGACAAAAGGATGTTTCTGGAAAGCCCGACTTCTAAATGTTGCTGAACATCTCTAACTGCCTAATTCCACAGAGCAAGGCTCTTTAGCACCTCCACCTTCCTGCCTCTACCCTGTGTGACCTTGAGGGCCTCTGCCCAGGACCGCAGAAGGTCACCTGACTCAGTCCCCAAACAGGAGTCTGACTTTAAGCATCACACTGGGCAGGCAGAGGAAGCCAGGTGATGGCACTGAGGACCATCCAGGGATTGGCTTAGTGAGCATCCTGCTCGATGCTCCCGCCGCCTTCACTGCCCCATGCTGTCACCCTGTCCTGGCTCCGGAGGCCACTCTGAGGTCCTGGGCAGACCACACTGTCCTCTGCAGCTCAGCCAGCTGGCCGGGGATCCCTCCTAACGTGTACTGAGACACTTCAGACAACCCAACTTTCTTCTCCAAGGGTCCCCTCTGGGCCTGGGTCTGGAATAGGAAGGCTAGTGAGGGGGCAGCAAAGTAGACTGAGGCTGGGTCTACTGCCAGGAGCATGCGGGGGCTTATCCCGGGTTTTCCAGCCATCCTGTTGGTCAGCAAACTGTGGGCAGCCCGACTCCAACTCGGAACAGCGTGTGGGGAGCTGCAGGAGCGGGGGTGCTGGAGGAGGGTAGATGGGGTTCCGAGAGAGAGAGAAGATGAGAGGCGGAAAGAGGCAAGGAAGAAGGTGGGAGGGAAATAGAGAGGAAGGGAGTGAGAAAGCAAAGAGAAGACAATGAAAAGGAGAGGAAGAACTCCCACACAGGAGAAGGAGAACAAGAAGGAAGCTGCTTCTTGTGGGTCCACCTCAATGCCGGGTGGAGACAGAGCGTGGGGCTGGGGTTCTCGGCACCACCTGCTTCCATCACTGGCAGGGGCAGCTGAGGAAAGAAGACCAGGCCCCTAGCTGTCCTGAGTGAGGAGCAAGCTCCCTTAGCCTCTCCCCAACGCCCCCCAAGAGGCGCGTGGGCTCGGGGAAGCCGGGGTTCAGGCCCTCTTCTCCAACCCGGGGCAGCTGTCAGTATCCACATAAGGCCCTTTGCTTGGCTTCCCCCACAACCATCACTGTCCCCAGTGTGGAAAACAGCATCCACAGCTGAGTCACACAGACCAAGGTCTTTTGGGGGTTGGGGGCTCCTCTATAGAAGGCCTGTTACAAATCCATGTGCAGACGAACACAGCCCCTTGAAAATCAATGTCCTAGGCAGGCTGAGGACGTGCAGCCAGAGCTCCAGGCCGGTGGGGCCCCGGCAAGGAGCATGTCTGGGAACTGACTACTCGTTTCTCTCCTCTGCGGGGCCACCCACGCTATCCTGGGTCAGGCAATGCTGACCCATTTGGTACCAGCCAAACAGAATACGGAAATAAAAATGAAAACAAATAAAACAAGAACATAGATCTCCAGCTTGCAAATGTAGTCATCCCATGTGGTCCGGCATCAAACACAGTTCGTGTTGGGGTCCCTGCTAAAGCGGATATTCTGTCCTGTGGCTTTGTTTCTAGAAGTACAGACTACCAGGCAGGGACTAGATGACCACTCAAAGCAGTGCTGCTGTGTGTCCCGAGCACCCGGAGAGCAGAGGGAGGACACGGAGGCCAGGGCCGTGGAGGCAGGCTCGGGCTGGGCTGGGGATGGCTGCCCTGTGGGCCAGGTGATTCGGACTGCCCCCAGACGCTTGAGAGGCATTGACTCAGAGTAGGACCGAGTTTAGCAAGGCTTCAGAATCAAGCGATGTGGTTTCAGAGCCGCTGAACGAGCTCAGGCCTCATAAGCTGGAAGGATTTCTGGGTCAGCCTCGGGGACAAGGCTGCCCCAGACCCAGGTACCCGGGGCTCCTCGGGCTCCGTGGGCTTCTGCCCCTGGCTCCCAGCCCCGGGCCGGGACCTGCACTTACTGGTGAGGACCTTGAGGGTGAAGGCATTCTTCTGCTGGATGGTGTGCGTAAAGTGGAAGCGTGCGTTGCAGCTGTAGTCTGTCTGCATGTCCTGCAGCATCACGTTAGAGAAATACAGGTCGCCGTTATGGCCCTGAGAGACGCGCTTGTCTTGAGTGATGGGCTCCATGGCTGTAAGGAAGCAGAGGTACAGATGGAGATTAGCGGTCACAGTAACAGGAGTGACGGTCGTGATTGGTCTGGCGACTGAGCACCAACAGAGAGCCAGGTGGGGCCAGGAGTAGAACATGATTTCCTCTCATCCTCTCAACTCTGAAGGAGGGCTTATTCCCATTTTACAGATAAGAAAGCAGTGGATTTAACTTGTCCTGGGTTGCAAAAGCAGTGAGAGAACAGGCGGATTTAGATTCGGACCCGCCTGCCCACCACGCCCATGCTCCGGGACCAGACTTTTCTAGCTCCTGTTCGCATCACACAAGCTCTGACTGGCCCTGAACCGGAGGGAGGGAACACAATCCTTCAGATGCTCCCCAAGTCAGGAGTCAAATTCACTTGTTTTCTTTTTTAAGCCCTCACTCCCACCAGGAAAGGGAAAAGCACTGCCAATTATAATTGTAAGATACATACTAATCAATGATGCACACCATCAATTTTAGGATGCTTTCTACTTTTAGAGATGTTAAAAGATGAAAATGGTGTTTTTTAGAATTAATGACATCATGGGAGTGGCAGTGGATACGGACTACATTATCTATGATTTTTGAAGCATCAGATGTCAATTCAAATGACCACGTCTGCAGGTTATTCAACTTGTAAAAGCGTATTTGTCAGGCTGACTATTCATTGCTAACTCCTTCCCATCCCCCACAATGGTTTATTAAATCACCATTTCATAAAGTGCAAAGTTAATGATGCCATCTTTCTAATGAGGGGCTGGGCAGTTCTTCAAATGACTTATTATCAAAGATTTCCTGCAGGCCTACTGTGTGCCAGGCACTGTGCCCGGGATTGGTGAAAGAGAAATGAGTAAGACAGTTCCTGCCCTCAAGGAGCCTTTGGCCTAGAAGAGGCGGTAGATAGAGAAATCGTTGCTATGCAGTGTGGTGAGTGGGAAGGGGATGAGCTGAGAGGAGGAGCACCGAGTCCCTGCCAGGGGGCCCTGAGCTCTACCTTGGAGGCTTCATGACACCAGGCAGAAGAGACAGGGGCCCTAGGAGGTTTCCAAGCAGCAGGAACAGTGGGTGCTAAAAGTTAAGAACACGCAGCCGGGGCAGGGGTAGGAGAAAGGCCAGGGAGGCAGAGGGAACTAGATCAGGAAGGGAAAGGAGTGTGGACTTTGTCCGAGGTGATGGAGGAGCCAGTAAACGGCGGGGAGCATATGAATGAAACGATCAGATGTATGTTTTTAGAAAGACCGGGGAGACTAGTTATGGATGATTACTGCCACCTAGGGAAAAGCTGATGGTGGCCTACACTGGGGAGATGCCAGTGATGATGGAAAGAGGAGGGGCATGAGATCTGCTCAGGACGCAGCATGGACATAAGCTGGTGACAGGTGTGATGCAGGGACAAGAGAGTCTGAAAAGTTAGCAAATCAATCAACATTCCAGCCTGTGGCCAGGCAGCCCTTCCCACGCACTTGCACTGAGATGACAAAGAGAGAGACAATGGGTGAGCACAAAGCCGCACTCTCTCTGCAAAACAGCTCACAACCCTGCCTCTTTTGGAAACAGGCTGGTAAAAACTCAGGGATGGACGGATGATTGATGCTAAGCAGCAGGCAGATCTATAGATTGACCGATGGATGGATAGACCAGAGGGGGGGGGGGGGGCGGGGGGGGGGGGGGGGGGGGGGGGGGTGCTCTGGGCACTGCCTGCTTTCTCCCTGGAGTGGGGATGGCGAGTGAGAGGGCAGCCACAGCCCCTGGCAGGGGCCCCGAGGCTCCCTCCCAGTGGTTCGAGAGAGGCACGGTCTTCACTGTTACCTGGAGCACTGTGGTGCTTGACGGAGGGGAAAAGGCAAGTGGGTGAAGCAGAAGCGGCTCCGACTCTGTTCACTGTCCTCAAACTCCCTAGTGTCTATCCTCTGTGCCTTTCTTATGCTGCGCCCCCCTCCCAAATCAGGGCACAGTGCGGTCCACCGCCCGAAAGGCAGGCTGGTGTCCCTCCTCTTCCCCTACTTCCAGCTCCCCCTTCAGCCCAGGCCAGTCTGTGCACCCAGGCTCAGGCCAGGTGTCCTGGGCTCCTTTGAACTGTCTCTTGTGGAGGGGGGTGGGCACCATAGAGCAGGGTGGGCTGCGAAAGCTGTGGGCACCCACTGAGTGCACGGATGCCTGTGCCTGCCTGCAGGGTGCACCCCTGGAAAAGCCAGATGAGCGTGCAAACAGCTGCTCCCTGTGCCGCCCTCAGGGCCCTGCACCACCAGCCCCCGAGACATGAGGGGCTACGACAAAGAGCCCTGTGGAGGGAAAGGCTCGGACCAGCCCTCCCCATCACTGACTGCACATTAGAGACACCTGTCGGGACTTTTAGACACTACAGGTGCCTCCCCTCGCCCCACATCACTTAAATCTGGACAAGGGAGGCCGGTGTGGTCTAGTAAAAGCGTCCCAGGTGCCTCTCGGCTGAGATGCCCCACTGACACCCTGGTGGCCGGCAGCTCAGGTCGGCCCTGCCCTCTGCTGGAGAACAGGGGCACTGCAAGCGGGGCTGAGGCCAGAGCGCCAAGGGGACCCGGCAGCCGGAAGAGGAAGGGAGGAGTGCTCAGGAAGGAGGAAAGGGGTGAGGGGAGAGGGGGAGAGAAGTGAGGGAAGAGAGAAAGGAGTGGGAGAAAGAAGGGGGAGCCGCTGGTGCTGCTGCCACCTCCGCAGCAGCTCCTGGGGGACACGCGTGATGCAGGCTCCCTGTCCCCGGGTTCCCTCAGTGTGTCACCGAGGACAAGCGGGAAGCAAACGGGCCCAGACTCGCGCCTGCAAGAGAGAAGGAAGGAGCAGAAACCTGTTTCCAATGTAGAGAGGCTCGTCGTCCTTCAGCCAGGAGACTGTGAGCTTCAGGGAGGGGTCGTGCTTCACCCGACACTCCAGCTGCACCGTGGTGCCCCGCTTGGCCACCTGGTCCTCAGGCATCCGGTAGATCCTGGTGGGGTCTGTGGAGAAGCCGAGGGAGCTCATCATTGGCATGGCCTCTGCCCACCACCCCACGTGGCCACACGGCGTGATGCACGTTGGACGGACCACGGAAGGTGGCAGAAAGAACACTCAGTTATATGAATGGTGGCGGGGCGGGTGTGGGCGATTCTAAGGAGGAAACAAGCCCCAAGTCCTTTCTCTCTGGCTTGGGAATCTATGATGCCCTTCCTGGGCTGGTAGTGGGGTGTGGGTGGGGTCTCAGACTTCCCTTTCCAATCCCACGTGGACCGGGCTCCCAGCACCCAGGCCAGCCGGAAGCCCATTCGAGGACACGGAGGCCCACGGGGAGGGCCCCATTAGCGGTGCGTTTTCAAAGGGAATGGCACGCAGGAATCACTTTGAGGAGATGGCTTCCTCGGCTGTCCCACCCCGCACTCTCCCTACCAAACTCTCCTTTACCTTTGACCTCCAGGCGGACCTGGTTTTCAGCTTTGCCCAGGATGTTGGTGGCGACACAGGTGTAGATGCCTTGGTCCTCTTTGCGGATCATCTTGATTTCCAGACTGCCGTTCTCGTAGACGTGGTAGTTACCACCATCCAGGTTACTTCCCTGCCCGTTCTTAAACCTCACAACAGAGCAGCAGAACACACAGCACACTGAGACAGGACCGGCCCCCTCGAGCAGGGGTCTGCCTCCCGCTGCTGGGTGGCCCTGGCAAGTCTCTGGCCCTCTCTGGGCTTCGGTTTTCGTCTCTGCACAATAAGGGGGCTGACCTCGATGATCAGGCAACTTTCTCCCAGTTTCGACCCTATAAGGTTACCTGGTCTTGCTGAATACCTATTTTGGGCCGGAGGGGAATGAGGACTCCCGGGGGGGGGGGCTGGTCTCCTGGAACTTACCATCGGAGTGTGGGGATGGGGGACCCAAAGAACGGGCAGTCAAGCCGTGTCCGGTTGTACAGGATCACCCTAATGAGCTGGTTCCGGGGTGACAGCATCCGGGGCGGCACGTCTGCAATTCCCGGAGAACAGACCTTGGCTGGGGGGCCTACCTCCTCCAGTCCCCCCCGACCCAGGTCTTCCACGTGCCCTGGCAGCACAGTAGCTTTCCAAGCGCCCCGTCCCTTCCCCCATCAACCTCCCTCCTTTAAGAAGCCTCCCAGGGTTAGGGGAGGGAAGAGGAAGCTCACCCGTCTGCCTTCAACCTACCCTGTGTGCAATCCAGCTTTTGCAAAAGGTCTCCCCGGATTACCTAGCAGGTTCTGAAGCTGCCCCTCCACAGCCCCAAGGCATCTCTGAGCCGCCCCCGCCCTCTCCCTGATCTAGGAGTGACCCTAGTACTCAGAACCACTTCCTACCCTAGGGCCACCGAGAACGCAGGCAGAGTTGGCCTGGATATGCGGAGGGGGTGAGACAGGCCCCTCCCCCTCATCTGGAGACGTGACCCTAGCATGGAACTAACCGTCTGCACACCCAGCTCCATGGACCTGACGTTCCCTACCCTCCCCGGCAAATTCATCTTCAGTCTCCATGCTTTCTCCGTCCCACGCTCTCCTGCCCCTCCCAGCCTGGCTGACCTCCCCACGACGGGAGCAAGCCCCAGGGAGGCTCACCCAGCACGCTGACGAAGGCGTTGGCCAGCAGGTAGCCGTGCTCGTTGGAGGTGTTGCATTGGTACACAGCCCTGCTGCTGATCTGGGTGTCCCGGAAGATGATGGTGTCCCCAGCCACCTCGCGGTTTGGGTTGGGTGGTGCCGCTACAGACGGGAAAGACGCCCCTCGTGAGAAACGGGCAGGGCGGGGTGGAGGGCACTTGGGGCTCTGGCCAGGGCTCCCTAAGACAACTGGAGTGCTGTGGAAGCAGCCGCTCCGGGTGGCTCCCAGGAGACCCGGCTTCTGGCTCTACCGCTGCCCAGCTGTGTGGCTTCAGGCCCATCATCAAACCTACTGGGGTTTGTTTCTCCGTCTGTCCAATGGGACTGTGAGTCCCTGCTGGACCTATGTAACAGCCAGGCAGGTGTGGTTGAGAGCATAAGCTGTGGAAACAGAAAGGGGTTTGCATTCCAACCACATCACCTGCCAGGGTCATTCAGCTCCTCTAAACTCCAGCATCCTTGTGTGCAGAATGGGGATGACATATCACCTTGCAGGGTTCTTATGAGGATAACCTGAGATTTTAATGCATGTCTAAAGTCATCAGCAGAGGCCCGGCACACACTGATTACTATTGTTGTTATTATTTTAATCCACTGTGTCTATACTTAAAGGTTTTGAAAAGGACAAAGGAATATACAACTGGATGAGACCCACCACCTTCCCATCCTCGGAGCAGAGCATTCTTCAAACATTCACAGAATTAGAGCCATAAGCCAATGCCTGTTGAAACTGAATGAGTCCTTAAATTTGCCAAAGCTACCTGATCGTCCCAAGAGATGTGTCCTAAACTGAGAGACGATATTTCCTCCCACAGCTCTCCCAGCATGGATGGCTTGGGATGCAGAGAGCAGAGGCTGGGGAGTGGCTGTGGGGTCTCAGTCCTGTTCACACGTCAATCTGGGACTGGGACAAATCAATAAATCTGGGCCTCATTTCCCACATCTGTCAAGTGGGGGAGAATTACTCCCATCCTTCTCCCACTCCGAGGAGCTTAATGACGAGCGGTATAAATAAAGTTTTCTGGAAATGTAAAGAATTGCCACTTTTTTCATCTTTCACTGGAAGGTGACTTTCCTCTGTAAGGTTTCTGGACTGAGCCAGATGACTTGGTTTGGACGGTCTGTGAACACATCCAGGATCGCTCAGACCAATAGCAGCAGTGGGCAGAGGACCACCTTGGGTCTGGTCCCCGAGGCGCCACTCCACAGATAGCAAGTCTGAGCCCGGAACTGGGGAATCAGCAGGAGGTAAATGAAGATGAGGGCAGCATCCTTATCACCCGTCCCCAAGTCCCCACTCAGCAAAAAGGCACGAAGAAGTCCACGCCAGCAACTTCAATGCCTCCTTCCCTGGCAATTCTCATGGAGCCAACTTTCTTCTCAGCCACTTCCCTAAAGTGACAGGTGATCTTTCCAGGGCCAAGGCTCAGCTGCAAGTCCTGAGCACCATTTATTCAGTGGCGCTGTGGAGTCTGGGCCTTTGTCGGCCTTGTTGCCAAAGTGCTATCAGGACAGGGAGAACAGCAGAGGGCAGGCAACGTCCGTATCTCTGCTTGTGCCCAGGGCAAGGACACGGACTGGGAGGGAGACCGTGTAGGTGTATGGTATTCTCACAGACACCCACAAGGACATTTTATAAAGTAAATGCAACTGGAGAGACTACGATGGGAAAACCTGACCGAGAGCCCTGGCCAGAGGGGCCCTGGAGTCACCTACTCCAGCCAGCGGGCAGGACTCAATTTCCCCACATCTGGGCATACCCAATAACTGCATCAGTGCATCTCTGCCCTCATAGGGAAGTTCTTCCTTCTATCCAGCCTGGCTCTCATTTTGCCCTCAGCAGAGAGTGGGGCCTGGGTTACTGAGCTCTGTTCTACCTTCCACGCCCCACCCCCACTCAGAGGCCGGCTCTTCACAGACCTTGAACTGGGCTGTGTGGTTGTTTAGGGCAGAAAGCAAGATTCAAGAAAAACCCAAGGGAGTTTTATTCTCCCTAAATATGAGAACATAAGCATAGATTTCCTGTTCTCACACACAAATGAGGCAGGTTTCCTGCCTCTTGAGATGCCCAAAGAGCTGGGCTGCTCCAGAAGCAGTGGCCAAGGGGCTATTCTTTAACCTCATTCTGGTACAACTGGGGCTGGCCCATAGGGATAGGGATCTGGAGCCTCTGACAGGAGACGCAGCAGAGTCAGGTGGGACAATGGCTTGTTACTTACATTGCAGAGGTTCCCCATTTACCATCCACTGGACAGTGGGCTTGGGGTTCCCATTGGCTCGACACACCAGTCTCCCGTCCTCGCCAGGAGCCAGGATAAGGTTCTTGGGTTCGTCCAGCCAGTAGGGAGCAGCTGGAAGACAAGCAGAGTGCAGGCAGCCGAGTTAGATGGCTCGGGGCAGGCAGGAGACAGCAGACCGGCTCCTGCTAGGAAGACAGGAGCCCCTGAGTGCCAGCTCCAGGCCCTCACCAGCTGCCCAGGACTCATCCTTGTGGGATGACTCCGTCCAGCCTGCCTTTGGCTGGCTTGGCACCACGGGGGCTGCCTGCTCTATTTTGAGTTCACAGAACAAGAGTTCTAAACTGGGGCTGCTCGTTAGACTCCTCTGAAGAGCTTTTAACAAACATGGACACTGGGGCCCGTCTTCGGCCTACTAAGTCAGAATCCTCAGGGGAGGCTGGGGCAGTGGATGCTTTTAGAGCCCCACAGGTGTCCACGATGGGCACCCAAAGGCAACAGCCGATGCAGTTGGTAAAGAGCACCCGGGGCTGGCCCCTCTGTATTCCGTTGCTATTGCTGTGACATCAGACCATTTAGAAAAAGGCCTCATAGTCATTCTTAGGCACTGGGTTTGGTTAGAGCAGAGCTGGCTATCCCTTCCAATTGTGAATATGTGTATATGTGGATTTTTTTTTTTTTCCTGAGAAGTTCCTATGGATCAGATTCTCAAAGATCTTGATACCCCCAAAAAGGTTAAGAACCCCTGGTTTGAGTGTAGTGCCGAAACCAAAGTCATAAGGTCAATGGAGCATGCTCTTCAAAAGTTCTTGCACTCTTGGTATCAGACCTCATCGTCCCCATCATCTGGTCAGCCCCAGGCTGAGAAGGGACAGGTGTACCCCACCACCCACGGCCAGGATTCATAACGGCACGTGCTCTATTGCCTGCAACAGCTCACAGGGGCCATCTGCGCTGCAGAGGGAGGGAAGTGATTTAAAAAAAAAATAATTTGTGCCATGATAACTCCCCATTTTTAAGAAAGAACCATGCACAAGTACACAGACAGCACAGGGCTAAGACGACACACCGTGAACGGGAATGCAAAATGGAAGAAAGAAAAGGTGCTGCGTGAAATCCGAATGGCCCATGGGGGTACATTCACCTGCGGAGGGAGCCCCAGCACCACAGAGAGGTGGGGGATGGTCAGGGTGGATCTCCTTCCCCTCATACCCACGGTGCGCGCGCGCGCGCGC